CATGAGGTAAATATAAAAAATCAATTTTTATTTCATGTTTATCTTTATTTAAACTTACAAAACTCATTTGAATTTCATATATTTAGGTACCTATTTGACTATTTAAAAATGGAAAATATGGTAAACCTTGTTGGCCTTGTCGACCCTGGACAAGTTAGCTCTCAATCTGGAATGTTATCTTCCAGAACAAAACATCTAGCAGACTGCTTGAAAAAGGCAGTTGGGGACTAATTCTTCTTGGTGCCTTATAATCCAAGGTTAGTCCCCTTAACAAGATTTTGTTTGTAATTTTTCTTGGCACCTAACTATTTAACCTATATATTGTGTAGGGGTCATTGGGTGTTGGCAACTGGGAGACCAAATAAGGAGACGGTATATTTTATGGATTCATTGCCAAACCACCCGGTTGACGAGGACATGAAAAATATAGTGAATACGTAAGTTGATTTACTACATTCTAATATGTTTTAGTAGGCTAAAATATTTGTCATTAACACTTTTTGTTGTCTTGGAGCAGTGCACTCAAAATCACGTAGGCAAACAATCACGTAAATTCGCCATGTGAAGGTAGCATTTGGCCCCGCTTAAATTTTAAAAAATGTGGCTTTAATAAAAATTTGGCATGAGTTGGGTGTTTGGTAAACCCAAAAAAACGCGCTTATTTTAAAAACACCCATCATAAAAAGCAAAAACTCAAAGTCGCCAATACCCAGCTTTCAAAAGCTGCTTAAAAAAAGAGCCGGTTTTTTTATTAATGAAAGTTTCATTATTCCTATAATGCCCCTAAATATTTTACGAAAGGACAACGTTTGTCCCTCTCAATAAATAGATCGCGACCTTAACTCTCTGCTCTTCTCACTTTTCTTCTTCTTCCTCCCCTATCTCAAAATTCCAGTCTTTCTTGCATAGCATTAGCACAGTTCACAAAACCGTTCCGCATATGTATTACTCGTACAAATGGATGAAATGATTAAGCATTCCAACTCTATTCTTAAAATTGAAGCTTAGGAATTAGGATATGAAACAATAATTGCATACAACCACCTAATATTCATCAACAATTCAGAAATAAAAACCCAAATTCCATAATGCTTTAAGCATGCAGGATATTACAGACATAAAGAGAAAAACCCATGTTTGATTTCTGGAAGATTTTGGGAGAAAAAATAATAACAAAACAAAACAAGAAAAAACCTAGAAAACAACGGCTTCCAAAACCAATAGCTGCGTATCACACCATGCCAATTTCTATTTCTCTTTCCTCTTCCTTTCCTGAATTTAGAACAAAAAAAGAATGGAGAAGAAAAATTCCCAGATATAATAAAAGAAGCGAACAATCAATTTACAAAAAAAACAATGAAAGAAGTACGAATAACAACAGATCCGCTAAATCAAAATAGCATACCTAACTTAGATCAAACAGGTCTACAATTTCCCCACAATAAACAAGAAAAAAATTATTAAACTAAATAAAATCAAGAAAAGATAAAAGATGGGGAAAAAAACGCACCTGTGTCCGGATCAACGCGGAGATTTGCCGGATTAGAACATCGGATTGCGAATTTGAAGTTTCTGAAAGAGAAAAGAAAGTCTTCGTGTTTAGGGTTTGGTTATAGAGAGAAGAGGAGAGAGAGAGAGAGAGAGAGAGAGAGAGAGAGAGAGATGGGGTGCGTACGGTGATGGGTTTGTTTGTTTTTAATTTTAATTTTGTATATATATGTTTAATTTTATTCATATAACAGTATATATATATATATATAACAATATTTTTTAGATTAAATTTTTTGATAAAAAAAGTGTAAATAATTTTTTGATAAAAAAGTGTAAATAATTTTTTGAAGAATAATCAGTGACAATTTTTTTTTTTTACAATGTACATAATTTTTTGTTGTAATTATTTAACAATCAACAATTAAGGATATTTATGAGTTTACATGAAAGCCTATTATTTGAACACGTCTGTAATTCCAAAAACCGACGTCTTATTTGGGAATTTCAGTTGTACCGTTGCGTAGAGCACATCGAGATGAGTTTGTAGACATGTAGTGGGCTCAAATCGGAGTTGTAACAAAAAAGTTACGATAAAAAATAGTCCAGTGGCAAAATCGTAAATTTTTTGAAAAGAGATTTTTTTAAAAAATCCTAATTTCTCTCTCTCTCTCTCCCTCCCTGCGGGCACAGCCCCCCCCCCCCCCAC